AATGCCTAGTTAGGGAGATGTAAAAGAAGTTGCTTCTGCTGATACTGTGCTACTATGAATGAAACTGTTTCTGCATCCCGAATTTAAAATCCTGCATTTGTACTGTCCTTACTCTGTGTTAGATTCAGTGACAGGAATTCATAGAACATGGTCTGCTTCGAGGAAGTCAGAAAAAAGAAGGTGAATGTTCAAATAAAATACAATGTAGAAATTAATAAGTAATAGAGAATGTAAACATTCCATAGTATTACCAGTATCTTTTAATTATTAAGCCTTTGTGGGCTAGTACTGAGACCTAAGTATTTTAATAACACTGTTTCCAGAAGAAAATTACATGCTCTTGTTAGGTACCACAATTCTTTGCTTGTTCTAACAGACGCTTAGACAGCCTTCTAAATCGATGTTTATATTTCCTCTAATATTGTACAGCATCTAACTCACATTCCTTAACTTCAATTCTAATATAAAGAAAAGAGCACAAACTGACTTTTCTTTTTTCTTTTTTAAAGATTTTATTTATTTATTTATTTATTTTTGGGGAGGGGAAAGGAAGGAGAAAAGGAGGGAGAGAAACATCAAAGTGTGGTTGTCTCTCACACACCCCCTACTGGAGACCTGGCCCACACCCAGGCATGTGCCCTGGCTGAGAATCGAACCGGCAATGCTTTGGTTTGCAGGCTGGTGCTCAATCCACTGAGCCATACCACCCAGGGGAAATTAGCTTTTCTTCAACACTCATTTTAGTGTGCCTTACATACATTAACAGCTTCATTTTAATAAACAACCTAGAATACAATGTAACAGGAGGATGAAACAATTAGATGAGCACTCAGCAACATGGCCAGATCTTAAGAAAAAAAAAAAAAAAAGCAGTGAGAGGAGGGTGGAGAAGACTTTAGGAATTAGATTAAGACCTAATAAATACAATACTAAAGCCTTTTACAAGACACAAACAAAAGGATACATATCAAGCACTTTAAAAAGTCTCTTATATGAGGACTCATTAAAAAAAAAAAACAAACAGAACAGTCCTTTAATGAACCAGCAATGATGGGTATAACATAAATGGAGGAACATCATTAACTTCATAATACTCTTGCACTTGAGGCTGAAAATGATACTTCAGACATAGCCATCCTCTTTCACAATAAACAGCTGCCCCAAAATTTAAACAATATTTATTTTTAAAATTGTGGTAAAATGTACATAACAGAACTTACATGCATTTTTAAAATTTTTTAAAGGTTTTATTTCTTTTTAGAGAGATGAGGAGGGAGGGAGCCAGGAGAGGGAGAGAAACACTGATGTGCGAGAGAAACATTGATTGGTTGCCTCTCACACAACCCAACTGGGGACCTGGCTCTCAGCCATGGCCCTGACCAGGAATTGAACCACCAACCTTTTGATTTGTGGGACAATGCCCAACCCACTGACACATACCAGTCAGGGCTATTTCAACCATTTTTAAGTGTATGGTTAACAATTTTTTTAAAGTTGTCATTGTCCTTTTAACACCTTTGTGAAGTACGGTGATACTAAATAAATGTGAATAATTTTGTTTTGATTACTTTCTACTCTAAAAAAACTATAAAACCACCTGGGTATTTGTAAAAATAAATATTTATTGAACACTTATATGGGAGCCATCAGGGTACTAGACTCCATGATCCATCATTATTATATTAATGTGGAAGACTTAAATTACATTTACCAAAAAAACAGAAGCAAAGATGTAACAGATCAAGGTTCTCATTCAGTAAGATTAGCTCTTTTGAAGTTTTAGTCTATGCTTTAAGCACTGTAGTCCAAGAAAGGGACTTCTCCTGAAATCTTTGAGCAGTGCCCTATAAGATTAGACAGTGCTACACACGGGTTCAGGAGCTCCTCCTTTAAGCCCCCAGAAGTCGAAGGAAAAAAAGAGTTTCACAAGAAACTTTAAAATGAAGTGTATTGGTGATCTGCCCTCCCGTCCTCCTCATCAGTCCCTTTATTTTAACCCTTGTTTTTAGTTATCAGGATAAAAACTGACTTGATTAACTAAATCTGTGGCAGTCTCAAAACTAGGTGGAAAAGATATGTTTGAGAATGCATGTTCCACTCGGGATACAGGATATCGGAAAAAGTGAATAAATGAGGAAGAGTTATTGATCTGAATAATTAACTATATAATCATTTCCAGTTAACAGACTGAATTAACCTGCAGTGATCAGCGCTACCTACACCAAAGAGTTCTCTCCCACTCTCCCTCCCTTCCTCTCTCTTTCTAAATACATTTTTTTGAAAAAAGAGCTCAATTTTTAAAAACAATAGTAGACATTACTCAATCTTTTATTATCTACCTGGTAAAAAGCATTACATTTTTAAACTAAATATGCTCATATAGCAATTATACAATTTCCAGAGATGGAAACACACAGTTAAATAATTTCTTTTAATTTAAAGCCCCTAAGAGAATTATTTGACTTCTGGTCAAGATGGTGGTGTATGTAAACACAGCTCACCTCCTCACACAGCCCCAACAAAAATGACAGCTGAACTACAGAACAACTATCACCTAGAATTCTCAGAAAAATCAAGCTGTATGGAAGTCCAACAACCAAGGAGTTAAAAAAGTCACATTCATTCAGACAGGTAGGAGGGGCAGATCGGAACAGGCAGTCCATACCTGTATGCAGTGGATAAAAATCGAGAGGTATATCTTGGGAGCGAAGGATCTGACCTGCATGCCAGGCCCCCCAAACCAGGATTCCAGTGGCAGGAAGGTAAGTCCCCACAACTTCGGGCTGTAAAAACCAGTGGGGGTTGGGGTGACGGAGGAAATTGCAGGGTTCTCAGGCCTCTCCTCTTAAAGAGTCCATAACAGACTTAGGACTTAGGCAGACTCACGCCCTCTGGGCTCCAGCACTGGGACAGCAGCCAGAAGGGCACCAGTAGCTTACGGGGAGACACTGAAGTGTCTGGCATCACAGCGAGTGCCAGGGGACAGCTCTCTCCCAGACAAAATTCCAGAGGCCAAGCAGTGACCACTGTCCCTTTTCTGAGCCCTCCTCCACACAGCAACAGAGCAGTGACACCATATCTGAGACTCCATCAGCCTGGTTCACACAGGTTGCCCTGCTCAGGTGATTACCTAAGGGTCCACCCCATCCAACCTAACGGTGCACTTTTCTACATTAGGCCATGCTACTAGGCAGGGAGTCAAAGCAGCTCTACCTAATTCATAGAAACAAACACAGAGAGGCTGCCAAAATGAGGAGACAAAGAAATATGGCCCACATTAAAAAAACAGAACAAAACTCCTGAAAATGAACTAAATGAAACAGAGATAAGCAACCTATCAGGTGCAGAATTGAAAGCACGGCTTATTAGGATGCTCAAGGAACTCTTTGGGTGCTTCAATAGCATAAAAAAGACCCAGGCAGAAATGAAGGTTACACTAAGTGAAATGAAGAAAAATTTACAGGGAATCAACAGTGAACTAGATGAAGCCAAGAATCAAATCAATAATTTGGAACATAAGGAAGAAAAAAAAAATTCCATCAAAATAGCAAGAGAAAAGAATGAAAAAAAAATTGAGGATAAAGAGCCTCTGGGACAACTTCAAACATACCATCAATCAAATCATAGTGGGGCCAGAAGGAAGAGAGAAAGAGCAAGAAACTGAAAACTTATTTGAAAAAGTCCAGGAAGCACAAAAAGTCCCAAACAAGATGGATGCAAGAAGGACCACACAAAGACACATCATAATTAAAATGTCAAAGGTTAAACATAAAAAGAGAATCTTAAAAGCAGCAAGGGAAAAGCAGACAGTTGCCTGCAAAGGAGTTCCTATGAGGCAGGTTGTCTGCTGATTTCTCAAAAGCAGCTTTGCAGGCAAAGAGGGATTGGCAAGAAGTAATGAAAAGCAAGGACTTACAACCTAGATTACCCTATGCAGCAAAACTATCATTTAGAATGGAGGGGCAAATAAAGTACTTCCCAGATAAGGTAAAACTAAAGGAATTCACCATCACCAAGCCATTACTATACGAAATGTTAAAGGGATTTATTTAAGAAAAAGAATAAAGTCAAAACTATGAACATTAAAATGGCAATAAATTCACAACTATCAACCACTGACTCTAAAAAACAAACTAAACAAACTAAGCAAACAAGCAGAACAGAAACAAAATCAAAGATATGGAGATAATTTGAAGTGTTATCATTTGGGAGGAGGAGGAGAAAGTGGGAAAGGGTAATGGAATTAAGAAGTACAAATTGGTAGGTACAGAGTAGGCAGAGGGATGTTGAGAACAATAGAGGAAATGGAGTAGCCAGAGAATTTATATGCATGACCCATGGACAAGAACTAAGGGGGTCAAAAAATTACCAGAGGACATGGGGGGAGGTCCTGGGTGGCAGGGGTTAAGGGGAAAATTTAGCATAAATTTTCCTAGTGATCAGCGCTACCTACACCAAATAATTAAAATATATATTTTAATATATTTTATTGATTATGCAGGTAATAGCATAATCAATATTAAAATAAAATAAAACCATCAATGCTAACGAAAAATTTAAAAATGAAAACATTTCATTATTTAAAATAAAATAAATAAATAAAGCCCCTGAGAGAGATTCTATGAACCTTCTACTCAGCAGATTCATTTAGGTAATGTCAACTGAGGTAAAAGGTGGATGGGCCCCAATGGAAGAAGAGAACTTTCCATAAAATAGACAACCCCACTCTTATTGACATGAGGAATAAGCTCTAACTAGGAAAAGCAGTACCTGAGTTTCAAAGGTGACTACTTTTACCACACCCTTTTACCCTAAATTCAGAAAAGATAAGCCTGAGTCTTTCTAGCAAATTCTGAGGTAATAAAGGTTTGCTAACCAATTTGTGAGAATCTTGTAATAATGAAGAAAAGATACAAATATAGGAAAGGAATTTTTAAGTATCAAGAAAAATTTAGCCTCTTTTCAGTTATATTTGTTTTACTACTGTTCCAATTTCTTACCTTGTAGAATTCTCTTCTGAGAAAAATAGATACAATTTTGTTCCTAAAAAAAAAAAAAAAAATCAGTAGAAAAGTAGAAATGTTAGTTTCAAAACAGAAAGTCTGTTGAAAATGAAAAGTTACAAAATGCTAACACAGTACATACAGAATATTATAACATTTAGTATTACCAAACCTTAAGAGACAGTAAGTCTTTAATAAAAGTACTTTTTTATTTTTATAAAAATACTTATTTTTATCATTACAAAAATACTTATATCAAATCATTTTTGCTAAGTACGTAATGTGTGGCACATTTTCATATTCTAAAACATCATTACTCAATTGGGTTTTACTCCAGTCAAGAGTTGACCTCCTGAAAGGTACTCTTTAGGTATAATCTACATGTCATAAAATTCATCCTTTTATTGTATAAAATTCAGTAGTTTTTAACTATACTCACAAAGTTATGTAACGTTCACCACCATCTAACACCAAAACATTTTTGTCACCCCAATAAGGAACCCTGTACTTGAAGCAAACATTTTCCGCCAGGGAGAAATATTTGAAACAATTTTTTTAAATATATAAAAAGCATACTCTTTTTAACACAATGATCAAAATTATGTTCTCTTTTAAATATGTAGAACAAAGACTGGTAGGGAAAACATACATTCAAAAATTGTGAGAGTAGATGTATTAGTGACGGACTCTTTTTCATACATTTCCTCTAAAGCTATGATTTTATAATATTACCTTTATTGTTCTTAAAAGGTATAGCACAGAAACTATATGCTAGACTCTGTACTATAACTCACAGTAAAAAAAGAAAAAGAAATACAAATTGACATTTTAAAAATATGCACTATGCTTTTTTATTAAATGTTTTTCAAAGTAGGTAAAATAAGTATAAAGTTAAAAAAATGTTGGCCACACTTACTAATCTGGTTGAAAAGCCACAGCTGCATTTTACTTTATGACAAATTGGCTGTTTCATCACTTTGCATCTGGGAATCTACTTCTTAATGGTCATTTCTGAAATAAAGATGTAATAATTAAGAATATATTATAAAAACATGAAATCTTTAATGACAATGATCTAAATTTCAGTGACTTCAGGGAACTATCAAAACAGTTCTTGACCAACTTTCCAATTAAAAAACATTAGCAGAACTGAGGGTAAGCTGGGATGGATGGAGTACAGACTATGGTCCCACAAGCCCAGAATCTGGTAAGTTACAAGTACTGAGTATAAACATCCATAACCCCTTCAGTCCTCAAGCCCTTTCACCCACCAGGGTCTTGCAACTGTTAAAAATGCCATGTATAGATTAGAAAAAGAAAACAAGGAAGATGTAGAAGAGAAGCACTAAAACAGCACATTTGAAAAAAAGAAGTTAATTGCTTATTTGTTATGTCCATTTGTCTACTTCCCTCTCACACCTATAAAGTAAGCTCCAGAGATTTCTGTCAGTTTTATTTACTCGCATTTTTCAAGCACCTAAGACAATGACTACCATATGTTAAGTGCTCAATAAATATTTATTGAAAGGATAAATAAACTGATGAATGACCTAACATTAATTGGTAAAATATTTAACCTGACAGTATTTCAAAACGGCAAAGTGTCAAAATGTCGTATCTTCCACACATACACCATCGATATTAAGGCCAACTACATTATCATTATTGCTTTGTTCTCCAATAAACAAAGCCCCTAATTAAAAGACAATCAAGACAGGATCCCAACCTTCAAGGAACAAAACAAAGGCATATGTCACTTCCTAATTTTGTTAGTGCACACTTTTGGGAAAGACTCCTCGAAGGGAATTTGCTAGATACGCAATTTTGCTAAATATTGCCAAATAATGTGAGTGAAGGTCCTCTTTTTTAAATATGTGTGTTCTTTGAGGTGCTGGTTGTGAAGACAGCTAAGAATATAAGAGAAAATCTTTCATAAGGAGTGAAAGGTTGACAGGTCTCAAAAGTAATCCTCAGGAACCCAGGAGTTTCCTACTGTCAATCCCGTAGCTAAATCAGGATTCCATAAAATACTACTCTTTTTGTAAAAAAATGGGGGAATACAAATATTAATATAGACTTGCTTTTTTTTTCTTTCAAAAAGAAGCAATGGGAAGGATAAACTGAAACCATTTTTAAAGGGTTATCTACAGAGGTAAGAGAAAACAGAATAGAAGGGAGAGAAATGGAAGACTTCTCAGAATATACCTTATAGTGTTTATTTTGAAGACATGTTTTAAGAGCAAATGAACATGAAATGATACTGACATTCTGACTACAAAAAAAAATAATAATGACTACCACTGATTGAAACATTAACATATTAAAAATTTATGGTCATCTTTGAAAGTTACTAGGGTACTAAATTATTATCTGAAAATGGATAAAGGGGAATAATCAAGCTTTTATCCTGGTTTTCTTTAAGAAAAATACCTCAGGGTAATATAGCAGTCAATAAATGAAAGCTCTTTTTTATAAGATTCCAAACTTAAATGTAGAAGTAATGATAGGATTAGACAATCACCATTTTGTAACCCCTAATGAAATAATGGATATTTAAAAGTGATCAATGATTGTTAAAATCATTAGGTAAAAGACTGATGGAAAACTTTTTTTTAAAGCCTATAGCACCTGGCGTTCCCAGGTGGTCTCCCATCCAAGTACTAACCAGGCCTGACCCTGTTTAGCTTCCAAGGTGACAGGAAACTTTTAATGGATAAGTCAGTTGACAAAACTTGAACCCAGTGATTAATCTGAACATCATTAAAAATGCATCAACCAGCGCTGGCTGGTGTGGCTCAGTGGACTGAGTGCCGGCCTGAAACCAAAAGGTCGCCAGTTCAACTCCCAGTCAGGGCACATGCCTGGATTGCGGGCCAGGCCCACAGCTAGGGGTGCACGAGAAGCAACCACGCATTGATGGCTGTCTCTCTCTTTCTCCCTCCCTTCCCAACTCTCTAAATATAAATAAATAAAATCTTTTTTTAAAAATGTGTCAACCAGATACATGCAGAAGTATTCATGACTACCCATTAACTGTTCATCCTGGGAGCTCCAGTTTCAAATGGTATACACAACATTACCTACACCCGGTCCAAGCCACCTTACTTCTCATCTGCATTACTGTGATAGTTTCCTATCTGATCTCCCAGACTCCCCTTCCCTTGCTCACCTCAACAAACCAGTCAGATCATTTTTTGTTCAAATCCTCTAACTGAGTCCACCTCACTAGTCTTAAAAGCCAAAGACCTTACAAAGGCATAGGACCATAATCTGATATTTCCCATCCCCACCTCTCTAACCTCATTTCACACCATTCTCCCTCTTGTTCACTCCATTCTAGCCACATTGGTCTCTTTCCTATCCTTAAACACATGAGGCACGCTCTCAGGGCCTCAGGATTTGTTTTTCCCTCTGCCAATGATACCAGATAACTCTCTGGCTTATTTCTCCTTCACCTCCCCTACGATTCAGTTTTTACAAGTTATGTCATCTAACAGATATGCCTTGGTACCCTAGGCAAGCCCAAAACCTCTGCCTCAGACTTTTCTTATCTGGAAGAGAATATATAGGAGAAATCAGTCATAAATTTTGGAGATGACAATCATTTGAAACACAAAAGTCATCAATTTTCATGTCTTTATGTCTAAATATCTATAGAACTATACTGACCTTTTTAAGAGATTCTAGATTCTATGACCCCAACTTCAAAGAATTAATGAAGATAGAGCTACCATATTGTGGGGTTTTTGTTGTGGTGGTGGTTTTGTTTTTAAATCGTCTTTATCATAACACTAGAAAGGAGAGGGTAAAAGATTTGAATTAAATGGGTCCCATTAAAAAACAACTAGCAAAATAAATGGCATTCCCTTTCCTCCCACTCCTGTAAGGACTTCTGTTAGGGAATATATGATCAAGTTCCAAGTTATCCCAGGAAAAGTTTACTTTCAAATGTGTCTGTTACCTTCAAGTACTATGACCCCCAGAAAAGAACTCACTAACTCTATAACATGACTAGACAAGCTCTGACATGGTTGGGATCTTTGAACTTAATTATTTTTCTTTAAATAAACAAACTCCCCCTGGTTTAAGGCCTACCCTGTTTTAAACACTCTGTGGCTGGCAAGCTTTGGGTCCTTAAGAGAGATAGCCAGGGGACAGGGAAAACAGCAAGTATGACTCAGTGATCACATTTAATAGTGTCTGAAGATCAAAACAAAGATACCACTTCTGGCGAGAGTTCTCTAGAATTGCCCCCAAACTGACTTATCCACATACCTTTCATCTGAACAATTTATTTTCACTTAGTTTAAGGTACACAAAGCACTTGTTATGTGCCTATAAGACCTTAGGTACAAAAATAAACCAAGAGTACAATGAAAACAATCAGCAGGCGTTCTAAGAGCTGAATGCTGAAATTTCATGTTAAATTCTGCTTTGTTTGGGAGGAGTGGGGGAAAACTCCTTGAGTATTTTTTGCAGAAATGCCCCTGCTCACTTGGAAATCAGACTTTAACAAGTCCAATCACTGGAAAGAAGGTTAGTGATTTTAAAGTAACCTTTATTGAGCAACTTCTGTGTGCCAGATATTTACATTTGCTCACAATTCTCAGAACTTCCCTATGGGAAAGGTATTAACAAAGCACATACAATGGCTAAATATCATATCCAAACCAGAAAGAGACATGGTGCAAAATCTCAGTCTTTCTTTTTCACTATTATAATCTGCAGTAAACTGGAATAAAATTATTAGTTACAAATATCACACTTGCTCCATAGGAATAACATAAATCCAGGTTGCTCTTTTAAGAAATTTGTTCCATTCTTCCAAAGTTGCTTTATTTTATTTTCTTCTTTAAAATCTTATTTATTTATTCTTAGGGGAAGGGAGGGAGCAAGGGAGAGAGACATCAACTGGTTGCCTCTCACATGCACCTAACCTGGGGACCAGGATTCAACCCAGGCTCGTGCCCCAACTGGGGATCAAACCAGCAACCTTTTGCTTTGTGGACCGATGCTTAACCAACTGAGAGATGCCATCAGGATTCATTGTCAATCCTTTTAATTTTAGTCTGTGTTAATATGTAATAGGATTCAACTGCGTTAATAACTTCTCCAATACATAATGATGTTCAGCAGATTTTCATATGCTTCTTGGCCATCTGGATGTTCTCTCTCAGGAAGTACCTGTTCAAAGCTGGGACATTTTTTCATTGGGTTGGATTTTGGGTAAGAGTCCTTTGATGATCTGCAATATTTTCTCCTAGCTGAGCCTGCCTGAGTATGAGACTCACAAAATCAGAAACTATTCCACAAATTGGGAACCCCTGAGCTCCTAGAAACCCCCTCTCAAGCAGCACATCTTACAGCATGATTTAAAATCACTTTCAAAACATGTGATGCTGATGGGGAAAGGGTGGCCATGGATGACGGTGGAGGAAATCTAGACTTAAAATGTTTACAGAAGGGTGTGATGTGGAGGACATGCTCTAGCTTTCCACATAGGACTTGGCTAGCTCAGAATGGCAGGAAGAATCTAAGAGCTCCTTAGGTTTAAAAGATGCGACCCTGTGATTCAAATGATTCAAGTCAAGCTGGCATCACCATTCTCATCAACAGCGTGGAATCCCAGAAGCTGAGCAACCCCATGAGTGGTCTGTAGAATTCTATACCCGAGCAGAGTATTAGTTCACCGCACACCAAGATGGGCATTTTTCAGATGTGGAAGGACTAAATAAATTTATGTTATGGTACCTATGATAAAGAGGTAGTAAATCAAAACAGAAAGTCTTAAAAACAGCTGTGCAGCAAGCCTGCAGAGGGCACCTTGACAAAATCTGAGAAAAGAACAGAGATGGAATCCTAGAGATCATACAGGTGTGATAAAGCCAGACAATGAAGAAGGGAGAAGAGCCCTGGTCCTCCTCCCCGGGGATTCCGAACACCTCTGGGCCCCACTCACTAAGACATGAAGCTCTGCCAGTGAGCCCTCAATAATGGAGGGTGAATGAGTG